TAATTCCCTACTTACAGGCAGAGTTTGACCTTTGCAGATTATACCCTGAGGGGGAATAACTGTATGAGGTTATAACAGTATACCCATCACCTCCATACAAAAAAATGACACACAGTAATGGGCAGAGAAGGGATGATAATTATTTCCTAATAGGCAGTTAGGGAAGAGACAGTGGAGAGTGGTTTGGAGGGAAATGTGGGTTCAAATCCTAGTTTGCCACCTACTAGGTGATTATCATTTGTCAAGTTACTTAGCCTTGTTAATTATCAGTTCCCTTATCTACAAAATGAAATAATAATGCCTTGTGAGGAGTAAATGAGGGTGTTGCATAATTCATCAGCATGCATGCCCATTTCTTCCTTATTTGTTGAAGAGGGAATGCCTTTATTCACAGGCCACATCTGGGTTGGCCCACATGACGTGCTTCTCTCTGATACAGTGTCCATAGTCCTGTCCCTTCATGTTTCAAGTGCCCCTGCTCCCAACTGGGGAGAGAACCAGCAGCCTCTGAGTCTTTGCCAAGGTCACTGACTCTCCTGAGGACATACAGTCGAGGAAACTACATGTTGAGAAGCCCCGAACTTCTCTTGTTTTTTAATAGCCTAAGAAAAGACTCTAGTGACCACTGAAGACCTCACTTGTGTGGAAGCCAAGAGTGGTTCAACCCTCTGCATTTTAGTAATGACTCCCAGGAGAAAACATGACTGCATTTTCTCATTTATTTGAGGGCAAAGGGAAATGACGTGATTGTGCTGTAATATTAGGAAAGTACATCAACACAGTGTGGTCTGTGATTCTAAATGGGTTGCCAAATTGAAGGGGAGACTGTGGAGATTGGAGGAAGGTACAGAACTGGTTTGGGAGCCAATCAGAGGTGCAGTTCAAAGGACAATTTTCAGTTATTACTAGTGATGCTTCTTAAGTTATTCCAAATGTACTGTGGGCATAGGCTGCTTTTAGGGCTATGGCAGGGCACTCACTGAGACAAGTCCATCTCACTATCTGAATTGGAGAATGACTTCAGTCAAGTGAAAAGCCACTCAGGCAGTGTGGGAAGGCATGTTCACAGGTCAGAAAATAAGGACTAGCGGTTTAGCAGTAAATGCCAGCCTGTTGGCTAAGGGCAGACACTTGCCTGCCACAAATTTCAATCACTGAGACATGGTCAGCCTTTCTGAGCATTAGTTCTCCTTTAGTAAAACGACAGCCATGTACTAGATGATCTTTTAGATGTCCTCTATCTATGATCTTATGCTTATATAATTATAAGTTCATTTGACTTGGTTCATAGATCTAATCTATAAGATTCCAAATGTATCCTTTCAAATTTCTTATTTTAAGGCTCTCTCATCTCAAATCATCTCAGGCAACTAATAAGGCAGGAAACCTTGAATTATAGGGATGGGACTGAGACAAGGGTAGGAGGGCAGCAATTTCATTTGAAATTAACTGAAATTGGGTGTACCTTTCTTTCATCTTCCAGAGAAGAGAAACCCTGGGAAGGGCTGGTGACCTGAGACTTCTTTAGTCTGGTAGAAAAGTTAACAGCCAATGGCTTGTAAGTGGCCAAAACACTGTGATGATCCAAGGAAGCACTGAAAACAACTTCGTGTTCTTATTTGGGGGCTGTTATATTAAGGAAGGAGGTACTAATCTGCACATTAGACATCCAGCAAGCAGAATGGACTTCAAAGAGTCGTTAGAAAATGTCTGAATGTTTGAGGGATTTGAGCATTTTGTTAGAGGCTATTGAAATGGTCTGTCAATAACCACATACTGTTTCTTCCTATATATCTCTATCAACTTCTTTTTAGGTACACAGATAATAAGTCAGTACATTCTTGTTATTAAAAAAAACTCAAATAACACAAAAGTATACAGATGTAGAAGATAGCTCTCTCCATCACTGTGCCACCTCTCTGCCTCCTCTGGTCCCCATCTCTCTTTGGAGGTTGCCACCATCCCCATTTGGTATCCTCTCATTTCTTTTTTCCCGCCACCCCCTCAATATTTCAGTATACTCTCTCCCACTAAATACCCAATGCTTGGAGACCAGTGATAAGAAGAGCACAGGAAAGAATGAAAAGTTTAGAAATCACCCACTGACCAATGTGGTGCCAGTGGTCTGAAAGAAACAAAGAAAAATACAGAAAATTATTCCCTTGAGGTGACATCATGTACATGCTTTTAGATTCTAACCTATTTCACAACCTGAATATTGCCAGGATGCTGGCAAAAACTCCTGAAAGAAGAAAGTACCAAATGTATTAACTTAATTATTTCCAAGGGGAAGTGTTTCTCTAAAATAATGAGTTTGTGGGTAACCAACCTCAGAAAAAATTTTAACCATTATTTACTGAAGTATAGTTAATTTACAATGTTGTGTTAGTTTCAGATGTATAGCAAAGTGATTCAGTTATATATATATATGTACATTTTTCAGATTCTTTTCCATTTTAGATTATTACAAGAGATTGAATATAGTTCCCTGTGCTATACAGTGGGTCTTTGTTGTTTATTTTATATATAGTAATGTGTATATGTTAATCCCAAACTCCTAATTTATCCCTCCCCCTACCCTGATTTCCCCTTTGGTTAACTATAAGTTTGTTTTCTATGTCTGTGAGTCTGTTTCTGTTTTGTAAATACATTCATTTGTATCATTTTTTTAGATTCCACATATTATAGTGATATCATATGATACTTCTCTTTCTTTGTCTGACTTACTTCACTTAATATTACAATTTCTAGGTCCATCCATGTTGCTGTAGATGGCATTATTTCATTCTTCTTTATGGCTCAGTAATATTCTATTATATATACACCACATCTTCTTAATTCATTCATCTATTGATGGACATTTAGGTTGCTTCCATGTCTTGGCTATTGGAAATAGTGCTGCTGTGAACACTGGGGTGCATGTATCTTTTCCAAATAGAGTTTTCTTTTCATTTTGTTTATGGTTTCCTTTGCTGTGCAAAAGCTTTGAAGTTTAATTAAGTCCCATTTGTTTATTTTTGCTTTTGTTTACATTACTCCAGGAGATGGGTCGGAAAAAATATTGCTGCAATTTATGTCAGTCTTCTGCCTATATTTTCCTCTAGGAGTTTTATAGTATTTGGTCTTTTTTTTTTAATTAATTAATGGATTGATTGATTTTTTATTGAGTTATAGTCAGTTTACAATGTTGTGTCAATTTCTGGTGTACAACACAATTTTTCAGTCACGCATGAATATATATATATTCATTTTCATATTCTTTTTCACCATGAGCTACTACAAGATCTTGAATATAGTCCCCTATGCTATACAGTATAAACTTGTTTATCTATTCTGTATATACCTGTTAGTATCTATAAATCTTGAACTCTGTAGTATCTGGTCTTACAACTAGGTCTTTAATCCATTTTGAGTTTTTTTTTTAATATGGTGTTGAAATTGTTCTAATTTCATTCTTTTACCTGTAGCTGTCCAGTTTTCCCAGTACCACTTATTGAAGAGACTGTTTTTTTCTCCATTGTATATTCTTGCCTCCTTTGTTGTAGATTGATTGATGATAAGTGTGTGGAATTTATTTCTGGGCTTTCTATCCTGTTCCATTGATCTGTGTGTATGTTTTTGTGTCAGTACCATACTGTTTTGATTATTGTAGCTTTATAGTATTGTCTGAAGTCATGGACTGTGATTTCTCCAGCTCTGTTCTTCTTTCTCAAGATTGTTTTGGTTATTCAGGGTCTTTTGTGTTTCCATACAAATTTAACAATTTTTTGTTTTAGTTATGTGAAAAATGCCATTGGTAACTTGATAGGCAGTCAATCCTAGAAAAATTTCAAAGGAAATTCAAAACTGTTGTATTGACAAGAAGATGATAAGCGTATATATACATGATTAGAGAATGACTGAAGTTTGAGAGAAAGTGCTTCTATTACTATGACTGCATTTAACAGAAGGACATGTAACTGTGGGAGAGGTTGAGCTTCTGGATCATATCATCAACATGGCATTGTTTCAGCCAGAAAATAAAAGACATAATCCACAACAGCCACCAAATCAACATGTTTGGTAGACACTACAGTTCTCCCAGAAAATGCACTCTCTGTAAGGTAGGAACCACATCCTGCTGGTCTTCAAAATGCTTTTCTCTGTTCTCCTATTAAACAGTTGCTGAGCTCCTGAGAGCCTGTGCATTGACTCTAATTAGACATCCCTTATTTTCAATGTTACAGCAATGCCTGACACAGAGTATGGCCTCAGTATATATTTACTTGTCACTTAATTGTGCCCGTTGTTAGTTACGCCCGCTATTGCTCAGTAATGCTTTTACAATGACTCTAGAGTGTAAGAAACCTGGAGTTAAGTAAAGGGTCCTGAAACCTTCCTAGAGATAGTTAAGGCTTCTAGAAGAGTCCACAGCTATGACAACGGAGGTGGCTGCTCTGGAGACTGGACTGCCTGGTGGGTAAGCTCATGGCTCTGTGGCTGGAGAACCTGGGCCCCAGTCCTGGCCCTGGCACTTGCTAAGTGATCTTGGTCAAGTTACTTAATCTCTTTCTAAGCTTCAATCTTTCTCATGCATAAAAATTGTAAATATGGTAATATTTTCCTCATAGAGTTGCTGTGAGGGTTGAATGGGATCGTGCTTAAAAGCACTTTGAAGCATAATGAGTACTCAGGAAATAAATTCTTCCAAACTGATCATGAGCTTTCTGTTTCGTGTGAAGTTGCTGCAACGTTTTCAGATGGAAATGTTTTGTGTATGGTGGTGTTCTGGAGGCTACTGATTATGTAGAGGTGGAATATAAAGTCTGAAATTTTAATCTTTTTCTAGATGATTGATCCACATGTAAGTACATGAATTGAGTACTGCTGTGCTTCAAATTCTCTCTGGGACTCCACTCACAATATGTGCTAGTCCTGTGGTTCCATGAGCTATGGTTATGCTATGATCAGTCTTCCCCCGAGAAAAAGTTAAGATCCTAATTTCCTCATTTCTATTACAGTTTTACACCTGCGGTAGAATTCAAGGAAAGAGGAAAGAGAGGCAAAGCAGTTCACTTTGCTGAAATTGACGGTACAGCTTCAGACAGGTAGCTTAACCAACCGCTGCGACAATGTTGCTGAAAGTGCGTGTCAGCAGAATGGCCTAAGTCTCTACCAGTTCTAAGAAAATAGCATTCCCATCATCTTAGGTTGAGATGCAAATACCCATCAAGGAAAGAACATGCACTATTTCACAATTATGGTGGGAGTTACAGTTATTCCTGTAAATGTATCCCTGTGATCATTTGGCTATTAGCAAATTTTCAGCTTCTTATACTTTTTTAAAAATCTGAAAATGAAAGCTATGTCATAAATAGATGATTTAAATGATCTATTTAGGGTGAAATTGGTATTTACATTTTATGTCAGGCCTTGTGCATTCCTCCTACCTCTAGCATAGTAAATATAATGTGTAATAAAACTTATTCCAAAATGATCCTACATTAAACAAAACCCATGCGTGACACTCAGACTCTCCTTACTTTACAGTAAACATCTCATGTGCCTCAGGATAGATTAAATACAACTAAAACCTTTCAGAGCTCTACTAGACACTGTTCTATTCCAAAACAGGTTGACAGATAAAAGGTTTGCTTTAAGAGAGGATAAGTCAGCCAAAGGCTTAGAGAAACGGAGTCAGCAGGGCAACGTTACACTCCACGATGTTAAATGTGAGTCACTGTTTCATCATCCTTACGTGACTTATCTAGTGCCAACCTCCGAGGCAGCTGTTTGTCCCTCTTTCAATTGTCCACCTTCTCTTCCAGTTGTTGCTTTGCTTTTGCTACAAGATGCTGAGATGCAGCGTATCTGTTCTTTTTCAACGTTTATGAGGTATGTAATGCTTGTGAGACATTTTAGATCTTTTATCTTTTATTTTGAAGTAATTCCATCTAATTAATGATGGCAAATCTGATTTTTGGAGAAAGGGCTGGCTTTATGCAAGCCAAGCTCTCAGGACTCAGTTTCAGAGACTGAGACCAAAGAGAGGAAGCCAGAAGTCACGGGAGCCCAAAATAAAGTCCCAGGGCAAGGAGTATGGAAAGCACTTTGTTGGAGTCCCACTCAGACTGCACTATGTGGGGGAGGGTATAGCTTAGTGGTAGAGTGCATGCCTAGCATGCATGAGGTCCTGGGTTCAATCCTCAGTACCTCCATTGAAAATAAGTAAATAAATAAACCTAACTACCCCCCCACCAAAAAAATAATAAATAAAATGGACAAAGAGAAATTTTTAAAAATCATTTTTTAAAAAAAAACTGCACCACATATATATTAGGTAAAGGGTGTACTCGTTTACTGAAGATCAGTTTTCTCCGCTAGTTATGTTTGGCAGCCACAACAAGTACTAGATGTTTGACCCTGGGTGAACTTCCTGGCCTTCCTAAACCTCAGTTTCCTCAGATACTAAATTGGAAATAATGGTGTCTCCGTGTGCTTGCGCGTGGAGGGTGCTTCACATGGCACCTGCACTTGTGAATGCTCAATGGGAGCTGGGTGTCCTGTGCTATTGGCAGCCCTCTCATTCCTTCAGCATTCAGTGAAGACAGACACCTGAGATTCCCTACCTGCAGCTTCTTTCTATGGCAGGAGCACACTCAGCTTGACTACAAGGCAGCCTTGGGGCCCTAGGGAGTCAGTGCCCCTAAAGCAGCCTCCAATCAGTGATGTGCCGGGGGGACAGTTGGTAGGTAAATATTCCAGCTTCCGTCTGTTAGGATAATTCTGAGTTTTCTGCATGGTCTTCCAGAGTCCTCCATGGGACTGAACTACATTTGTGCACAGTGATAACGAACTTGTTAACATCCCTTTCCTGTCTTGCTTCCCCACTTCCCTACAGACATTTCCTGTGATCACTTCCAAGTAAACTACTGTCTCTTAAATCTTTATCTCATGATGTGTTTCTGGGAGAACCCAACCGAGGACAGGTAGTTACTAATATGAAAAAATAGTCTGTCATTCTCACCTTCATCCTACTCTCAAGTTATGGTTAAGGAAAGCACACTAGAGTCAGAACTTCCATTTGGGGCTAGAAGGGAAGCAACAAAGATCTTGTAAGAATATTTAGAAAGAAAACAAAGGCTCCTAGTTTTAAAACAAATGAGGTAGGATTATAAATTAATGCAGTCTTTTTGGAGAGCAGAACTTATAAAACTTTAATATGCAGATATTCTATGTCCTAGCAGTTTCTCTTCTAGGCAGTTACTCAGAGATGTGGCTAAAAGGGTAATTACTGCAGCAAAGTCTATAATATTTTTAAAAGACCTAAAAAAATCCACCAGTAGAAGATTAGTTAAATAAATTATGAGCTGTAGAATGTTTTATCCAGCTGTTTAAAAGAATAATGAAAATCTTTACATGGTATCATGGGAAGAGGTCCATGCTACATAGGTAAGTAACAGAAGCATGTTGCAAAGACTTGTGTATACAGCATTATCCCATTTGTTACCAAAAAAAAAAAATTTAAGGCATATATTCATGCATATGGATGTGTGTTGATGGGGGAGGATGTTACATGTGATTGTCTTTGCTCTAGCAAGTTTAGGAAGGATTCATGCCAGACTCTTAACAGTGGCTGCCACTAGGGAGTAGGATGGTGAGAAAGGAGTGAGAAGAGAGGCTATTTACTTGCTACATTTGTGTACATTTTTTAAACAATGAAAAAAATTACCTGTACTATAAAAACTTTTTTAAAATGAAACTTATGAATAAGTAAAACTATAATTCAGAGTGTGAGCTCCCAAAAAGTTTTGTTTACAGAAATCAGATATGTCTTATATCTTCAATGGTTACAGTAGATAGAATTTTAAATGGTAAATTAGTTGTGTGATAGGTATAATATTTTTATGTTGTGTGTCCGTGTGTATTTTTATAACAGACTCTTTGTTTGAAATATGTTATCAATCTTTTATTTTCTTTTAATCTCCCCACAGGAATAAGCACCTTGACGATTTCCTCATGGCGTTATTATACTATTTATATTACTACTTGGAAAAAATCTCACTGGAAAAGAAACCCAAAAGCTATATGGTGTGAGTAGGACTTTGCGGTGCACTTTGAAGCTTTATCACTGTCTATATTAAAGCTAACCTTTGTCTAGGGTAAAGAGATGATGGGAATTTTTAAATCTTTGGATTTTACTAAAACATTTTACAGGGAGGAGCTCACCGGTTTTAAAGCTCACTGAATAATTCAGATGGGTATTCTGTGAACTAAATATTCCAAATATAGACCAGCACTGCCCAGTAGAAGGGTATGCCAATAGGCGAGAGCCACGTGTGGAATTTAAAATTTTCTAATAGCCACATTTTTAAAATGTGAAAAAATACAGGTCAAATTAATTTTAACAAGATACTTTATTTATCCCAGTTGACTCAAAAATATTATCATTGCAAACTGCAGTCAATATTAGGAAATTACTGATGAAATACCTTCCTTTTTTGTAGTAAGTGTTTGAAATGGTGTCTGTTTTACAATTTCAGCATACCTCAGTGTGGACCAGCCACAGTAAGTGCTCAGTAGCTGCTGTGGCTCACAGCTACTATGTGGGACTGTGCCGATATAGATACTGTTTCTATGCTTTTCATGCTTACAAAGTTCTTGCTAAAGAGTTTGTAAACATCTAATAAAAAAAACTCAGAATTTTAAAAATTAACAGATATGACCAAAATGATATTCCATATCACAGAAGAAAACAAGACTTCTTAGGCTACATATGAAGAATTTATTCCCCGGAGGTGGAGGTGGTTCAGAGCTATACAGGACAAGAATCTGGGAACTCAGAGTCCAAGGCAGAACAATGCCTCTCAGGCTTGGTGACCTTTACAAGCCATGGAACTTCCCAGTGCCCGGGCTGCCCTCCCCAGTGCATGTGGAACCAACCCATTGATTTAGCTGTTAGGAATGCCGGGTAGAGTCATCAATTTGTTACTGTAGAATGTTTTCAAAATGCAAAATCCTTGCATGTAAATAAACAGTTTGAAAAACATTTTATGCATAGATACATGTATTTGGATGACAGTTTTGTAAAGAACCAAATAAATAATTCAAACACTGCTGCTCCAGTAAAGCCATTATAATATGCAGTATCCAGCAGAGCATCCAGAGATCATGAAATGTTTCTGTGGTAGCAAGCAAATGGGCTCAGTCAGCTGTGGGCTCAGAAGGTTTGAGGAGTCTTACTGTTTACCAGGAAGAAACTGAATAGACTTTGGTAGCATATTAGCTTATATTTTGTATGGTGTTTGCCAATTCTGTGGGTTATTGCTAATCAAGCAGAGACATTTTTTCATTTCTTAATGTATAGCAATAGATAACAGAGAAGAAAGGTTTCTTAGTTATTTTTAAAATACACTAAAGCTTATTAGAACACAGTGATATGTGGTAGATTTTCTTAGAAGGAATCAGTTACAGAATGAAAAAGAAAAAATCCAAGCCTTAAAATTAATGGTTCTGTGGTGTGATTCTAAAAAATATATAACTTTTCATTTTCAGGCTTCCAGCAATCAATTGGTTTATTTATTCTAATATAAACAAATATAAATTACATTGAGATATCTGGACATAAATAACTTTAAGAAAAAATTAATTTCAGTCAAATTAATGAGGTATAACATAGGGATAAATAATAGCACTCACTTTGCAGTTATCATCCAGATTAGATGAGGTAATGCATATTATCTTCCCCTAGTAGTTGGCACTTGGGAGGAAACCTACGACCTGTGAGGCGGGGCAGGAAGAGGTGCAGAAGGATATCGTAGCCACCATTTGATGACTTTAGATGATAAAGCCCTAACTGCAGAAGAAGCAGCCTTATTCCCACTTTACAGTTGAAGCTAAGGCTCAGAGAGGTTAAAGAGCTCGCTGGAGATTACATGCCTAGTTAGTAGTGGAGCTGAGGCAGTTTGGTTTAACTCCAAAGCCTGTGCCGAAACCACTGTGTAGTGTACCCACTCCCTACCAGTCAACCCTACTCTCTATTCTTGAGTTTATCCATTTGTAATTACGATTTATAGCTTCTGAACAAAGGTACAATTATGTATGCAGTTTTAAACATCGTATTATAAGCATTTTTAAATCATTACAATCTTGTAATTATAATTTTTAATGGTGGCATAACTTTCCATCAAGCCAGTGTATGTTAATGACTTATTGATGTACCTATTAAGAGGCAGTATAGTATAGTCATTACAAGTATAGACTTTGGTGCCTGGCTTAAGTTCCACAGGGACTCATATGTTAGGTTAATGTCAAGTCCTAAACAGTACCTGGCTATATTTCTACAGCCTGTATTCCTACTCTGTAGTCCCTCTATTTTATATATTTTGGGCATCTCCAGTTTTTCTGATAGACAAATAGAGAAATAATAATTGCATTGAATATCTTCATGCTTTAGATTTCTCCCCTAACTTTGGATAATTTTTTAAAAAGGATAAATTTCTAGGAAAGATTATTGGATCAAAGTTTATGACCAATTGTATGGCACTTGAAATTATTACCAAAATTTTTTTCCAGTGGATTATACCTGGGCTTATTTTAAATGCCAGGGTCATGGAGGGAAAGTATGGAGATTTCTTAAAAAACTAAAAATAAACTTATCATATGATCTGGCAACCCCACTCCTGGGCATATGTCCAGAGAAAACTATAATTTGAAAAGACACATGCACCCCAGTGTTCATAGCAGCACTATTTACAATAACCAAGACATGGAAACAAATGTCCATTGACAGATGAATGAATAAAGATGTGGTATATGTACAATGGAATATTACTCAACCATAAAAAAGGATGAAATAATGCCATTTGCAGCAACATGGATGGACCTAGAAATTACAATATTAAGTGAAGTAAGTCAGACAAAGAAAGAGAAATAGAATATGATATCACTAATATGTGGAATCTAAAAAAAAAGATACAAATTTTATTTGCAAACCAGAAACAGACTCATGGACATAGAAAACAAACTATGGTTACCAAAGGGGAAGGGCAGGGGAGGGATAAATTAGGAGTTTGGGATTAACGTATACACATTACTATATATAAAATAAAAAACAAAGCCCTACTGTATAGCACAGGGAACTATATTCAATTTCTTGTAATAACATATAGTGGGAAAGAATCTGAAAAAAAAAAAGTATGTATAACTGAATTGCTTTGCTGTACGCCCGAAACTAACATTGTAAATCAACTACACTTCAATAAAAAATAGTTAAATGCCAGGCTCTACGCAGACCTACTGAACCAAAAATTTGAAGAGGGAGTGGTGTTGGGAATCAACACTTGTTAGCAAGTACCCCAGGCAATTCTTATATACATTAAAACTTGAGAGCCATTGACCTAAACATTTCAAAGCATTTCTTCATTGTTGCTAATTAGTTTGCTTTGTTTTCAACAGCAATAGAAGAGATTAACTACAGGCTACTGTGGCAAAGTATGGGTGAAGGATGAGGGTGGTACTGCTGAAGGAAACAGGGAGCAGGCACAGTGATGGCCATTGGGGTGTTGGTGGGGGCATGTGTGTGTATTTGGGCATTTAAAGTTGGAACCTGTTTAATCTATTCCAGAAACTCATTTTATTCCAGTGACTCACAAGCCTTCTCACCACATGTAATAATGTTTTGACTTTGAAACATGTATATTATCTTTAAACCCACCCGCTTCCCCCACAACTTATCCTCATGTGGTCAGTCTAGTGGTTAACATCAGAAGGGGCAATATACTGTCCCTGCTGTTTAGAGTGCATTTCATTTGGTTTAAATCTTTCTGAAAATAGAAGGGCAAGAAAAAAGCTAGTGACACTTCATTTTTCAGTAGGAATCATTGGAATGTATTTATGGCAGTATTGTTTCATGCTGTATTGTACTGCAAAGACTTCTAAAATTAGACTTCAGACATGCTGTAACCTAGGAACAGGTTGTCTTTTAGAAAGTTCATTTGCAATTCAATGGGAACTGGGGCTTTGTTTTCACAAGGAAGCAAGGTGAGTATAATTGATGCCAAAGTTCCCAGAGTAGTAGTCCACAAATGCCTCCTTAGCAAACACAGAACTGAGGTGGGCAAACGTTGAGTAGTTCAAACACTGATTCCCCCAAACTTACTGAACAGTAACATCAGGAACCCAAGGAAAGCTAAGGTGGGAAAGAGTCTCCATGGCTGTATTAGCAAAACAGCAGGGAAGTGGGCTGCTAATTGCCTCAGAAACTATTAGAATAGGGATTTGTTAGTTGAACTGTTCCATATAGGTTAGGACTGTGTATAAAATTACAGATACATAGCACAATGTATAAAGGATCTATCAAAAAGTGAAAATTCACCATAAACTTGAGATGCTGATTACAGTGAAAAATATCAAAGGACTTTGAGGACCTTCCTCTGCCACTGCTCAATAAATGAAAGGATGAGTGAGATGTGTTGGCTCACTTCTGCTTCTTTCCAAATAGTTTATACTTCTGACTTTTCACTAGTTAATAGAGACATTTGTCAAAATTAATCCGAATTATTATTTTTCTTTTCAGGGGCCTTGTAGAGAAAAAAGAGATGGAACTGATTATCAGTAAGTTAGAACTAGCGCAGAAATGCTTGGCGCAGAAGTACTGTGTGCTGGTCCTGGGCTTGGGAATGCCTGATAAGCATCACATGTGCTGCGGGAAGTAAGCACCCATTTAGGATTTCATTGTTTCTTCACATGTTTGTATATCCATATCCTAACAGTCCTTAACTTTGACTTTTGGTGCTCTTAGAAAGTTTCCTTTTTTGTTGTACAGAGTAATTGGGTGTCTTTTTTGTTGTACAGACATATGTGGTGTCTCCTTTGAGAGAGGCAAGTGAGTATAGGAAGAATACCAGAATCTTGGCTGATTTTTTTTAATTGAAGTATAGTTAATTTACAATATTGTGTGTTTCAGTTGTGACTGATATTTTAACAACTTTCCGCTACTTGGGTTTAAATGACTTTTCTCTCAAGTTATATCAGCTCAATGGAATCTTGCTTTCCACCGGGAAGGTTTCCAGCTGCCAGACAAGGGCCACTTGGCTGCCCTGGGTGGGAGAACGAGTGATGGGCCCGTGTTGACAAGGGTATTGGGTGTGTCCCCTGCCCTTCTGCAGCTTGTTTTGCAGCAACAGTTGTGGGTACAAGCGAGTAAGGTGAGGATTATAAGATGACCTTCCTTGTGGGAAGATAAGTTTTACCTTAGGATGACATGTTATAAACTACTGTAATTAAAAATTTTAAGTGTCTCATCACAGGAAAGTTTGGGATCGCAGGAGGGAAAGCTCCGATGCTTCACCCAAAATTTCCTTCTCAGAGTAGTGCTTTCACAGCCGGCTCAAGATCCATGCCATGGTCATGGCCAGACCTCTTTTTTTTTTTTTTTTTAAGCATTTTTGGAAAAGAATGCAGTACATGATTTCTCTCTCTCCACATTCCCCCACATTTTCAAAACACAAAATAATATTTGTATTATTTATGCTTTTTTGTATTTCATGTTTTTTCTATATACCTTCTTCTGTTATTCTGCTTAGTTAATCTCACCTGCCACTTTGAGTCGCCACTGTAGTTATTCTGTTTTGTAATATACCAGTTTGCTTAACCATTCGTCTTGTGTACATTTGTGTGGCTTCAGTTTTTCTGCTCTACAATGTTTTTGCATTGAGGATCTTTATATAAATAACTTTGTTCATTTGGACTGTTTACTTATGACTTATTACCCAGAATGTATTTGCCTAGAAGGCATGAACAATTTTATAGCTCTTGTTACATATTGCCAGATTGTTCTTTAAAAAGGTTAAAACATTCTGTATCCAGCAACAACAACCCCCCCCAAACTCCCAAAACATTCTATATCACCGTCAGCAATAAGCATACTTGGTATTATTAGTTTAATATTTTTGATAGCTTATAGGTGTATAAAAATCTTAAAGATATTTTGTTTGACTTTGGATATCTTTCATGACTGTAGAGTTTATGCTCCTTTTCTGTGTAAAATAATTTACTGTCTGTTCTTCGTCTAGTTTTAACCATTTATCAAGTGGAAAGAGAATTTATATAATATGTTTCATACAGCTAGGATTGGTCACTTGTTTTTCTAGTTTGTTGCTTTCATTTTGATATTTATGTTTTTACACATTATGAAAATGTTTTAAATTTGTATTTATTTGAGCATTTCCATCTTATTTCTGATGCTATTTGATAGTCATACAAGTTCTTGCATTCCTGGGCTGATTCTGTGTATTCCTGGGCTAAACTCCTTACCTTTCTTTCTTAGTTTTTGAAAATAGAGTTTTAAAAAATGTTAAGGCTTTGATCCATTTGAAATTTGTTTATAAGATATCAGATCAGATGAGCTATGAATCTAAGATACTTTTTCTTTACAAATATCCAACTTTCCAGTAATTTTTATTAATGATTTTTTTCTATTGTAACCCTTCTTGTTTATTAGATGTTGAATTTTTCTAATATTTTGACCTGTTTTAGGGAATTCCTATTGAATTTTATTGATCAGTTTTCCTGTTTTAAACAGAGAACTATATAGTTTATATTTTGCTTTGCTTTATTTAACAAACATTGTTGCTCTGTCTTAATCACGGTGCTAAGTGCCAGGGTACAAGGAGAATAGCCTCTCCTCTTTAAGAGCATACAGTCTATTGGAGGCGTCACCAGGTAAGGAAGCCAATGACTGGGGACAGGTGCAATAGAGGTATAGACAGAGCTTGGGCACCCAAAGCAGGAGAGGTGAGGAGGGGTGGACCTCAGGGGTTGAAGGCAGTGAGCCATGCTGGAAAGGAAACAATTTAGCTGAAAACAAGTGCTCACTCCTGTTACCTCCAGAAACCTTGTATTTGGTGATCTTGCTTATTTAAGGTAAATTTCACTATTAATCAAGTTCTAAGAGTTACCTACCAAGAACCTTTTATTGTCTGTTGTATTAAAACCTATACTTTAGCTTAGGAAATATTGTCATCTTTACTATTTTGAATCTTCCCAAAGAGCTATAAGATGTAGTCGCCATTTATTCATATAATTTATTTTGTCCATTAAAGTTTTACATAGTAATCTTTAAAGAAATTTACATGGTCCTAAATTAGACTAGCACCCACATTTTAAATTTTTTTATACCAATGTGAAGTTTTGGTTTATTTATTTATTTTTAATTATGCAAGTATTTCATGTATGTATCCCAAGGGTAAAAATTTTAAATAGTTATGTACATAGTTTATAATTAGTTAGTATATAGAGTTAAAAATGAAAGTCTCCTACTCCCTCCACCCTCCCTGATGTCATTTGCTCCCCAGAAGTAAGTACTGTTACTTCCCGTTTTGATGTATGTCCTTCTAGTTTACTATTCAATTACACACATGTACTTATGTTGTTGTAGTTAATATACTCAGAATAATGCTATATTGTCATTCTGAAATGTGCTTTTCTCACTTACAAATCTTGGATATTTTTGAAGATTAGTACATATAAATCTACCATATTCTTTTTAAGAATGGAATAGTTCTTAAACTATGGATATTATGGATTTATTATAATTAACTGATTAGCCATTTCCCTATCGGTGCATGTTTGGTAATATACTTTTGATGATAAAAATATATAAGAAAACATTTGGTTAAAAAAAAGAATGCATTTGGTGTTATCAATTTTTGTTATAACCTATGATACATTTGTTAAACACATTTCTTGTCTGTGTAAAATTTTAATTTATCTCCTTGGAATTTCTAGGCATATTATCTATAAAAGGTAGCTTTTAGATTTCATTTCTCCTGTAGACATATTTTAAATTTTTTAATTAGCCATAGTAGTAGCATTTCTTGTGTCTTGTGTCTAATTCCATTAAAAAAGCAACTAAAGTCAGCCTTACCTTTTTTGTTTTGAAAGAGAACAGACTAGCACATGCTGTTTACTTACTGTGTTGACCCTTAGTTTAAATGATGAATTTTTTATCATGTCAGGAAAACAGCTTGTTGTTTCCCTATGTGTTCAAATATAGTTTTGTTCTTTCTGTTTATAAAATTAACCCATAATCATGTAAAATAATTAAATAATACATAAAAAGGAAAGAGTAAATTTGGTGCCAACATTTCATTTATTATCCTTTCAGACATCTTTGTATGCACAGACACACAATTTTATATAAATAAATAGAATTTATTCTTCTATAACATTACACCTGTAAAATGTATATAATAATATACCTACTTTGTGAAACTTAAATGATATAATACATATAAAACACTTAGAACTACCCCTGGCACATACTATGTACTCAGTATATGCTAACTATTATTATTTCATTTTTGTTGTTATTATTGTTATTACTGTTAATATTCTGTGGAATATGGTAGTAAATATAGCTCCACAACATCATCTTTAATGCCTTCCTGGTATTTCAAATGTTTTTAGCTTATTGTTGAAAAGGTGGAACGTTTCCTTTTAAGTATTAGGAATAACACTGCAATGAACTTTCTTATACCTATATTTTAGGTACTTGTCTAGTTTGCCCTAAAGATAAATTTTTCACAGTAGAATTCCAGGGTCAGAGAGTATATGACACATTATATTTAAATTTTAAAAGTCCTGTTCAAGAATAGATGGTACAGTGGGCAAGAGAATAAATGGAAAAAACAGATAATCTGTTAGAGTGAAGGAAGTGTGGGCAATTTAAAAAATGCTTTGCATTATTAAACAAGTTGTTGGATCTTTTGAGATCTAGAATATATTTATTGTTTTCCTGTTCTCTCTTGAAGTTCTATGATTTATCCCCATTTCTTTGTTACAATTGGGAATCTAAAACCCTTAATGAAATTCTATATAATACTTTGCACTTCTCACCTGATTTTTCCAATTTATTTTACTTTATTTTTTAAATCATTACCATTAATCTTTACTAAACATTTTATTCTATCTACATTTTAATGTCTTTCATGTGAGCTTGGATTTCTACCCTTCTATGTAATGAACTTTATAACTATTGCATGTGGTTAGAATTTTTCTTTTTTCAGTTTTTCTGAGTCTTGAAACCCTTTCCTTCTACCTGCAAAAAAAGAAAGTCAGGTTGGACAGAGATGGTACTGGGTTAGTAACTTCATTGTTTCGTTGGAGTGGGTTCTCTCCAGGCTTCTCCAGTTTTCTCAGTTCTTCTTGGCTATTTATAAGGACTTACTTGGTCTATAAAGTTTAAAAACAAAAATGAACATGAGGTTTCTCACAAATGGGACTTGATGTTTATATGGATAGATTTTCAGTTCAGGCTCATTTTCTTTGTTTTTGGTTATATTTTGGCATTCTTGGCCATTTCTCTTCTCTTGCACCCTCTTGTCCAAGTGGTGCCTATACTTGATCTGCTTCCCATGACCACCATCTGTGTGATTCCCTTCAGTGTGATTTACCATCATTTGGGAACGCGCTCTTAATTCACTCCAACAGCATTTATTCTTTATCCTGCTACATCATTTCTGCTCTTGAGAGTTTCCACTGCTGTGTTCAGTTCTTTTTTGGAGTTGACAGGTTTCATGCTGTCTTCCAGCATGGCAGCCATGAAAACATGCCACCCAGATCTGCTGCAGTCAGGGGTGTAATTGACCAGCGGCCCCAGCTACTGCACTCTGATTCCGCCACCATGTTACACGGAGGCCACGCTTCCCGTGGACTGTCTGGGGGCAGCAGGGACACTAGAACTAGACTTAGGACTCCTCTGGTGGGTAACCTGGGCTTGAGGACTTCCCTGATCAGAACTTTCTTGTGAGGTACAGTAGTAGAAGCAATAGAGAGAGATTTAAAATTGGAGATTGAAATTTCAGCATCAAAAACATTCCTGTGGTCCAAATCCAGGAGGCCTTTCCAGGTCCCTGGAGCTGTTGGTAGAAATTCAGTTGCTAAAAACCCTATTATTTAGGAAGATGTGGAATTTTCTCTTTTCTTGACAAAAGTTTGAAGAAAAGTATTATGATAAAATTATAGTCAGCTTTATGAAATTTCCTATTCAATCACTTGTAAAAATCACCTTTTCTCAACTTCACATTAATTTTTTCTGTCTTTAAAGTGTCACTTCAAATTGAGAAAACTAGAATTTACGTTTGGTATTAGTCAGCTCAGGCTACCATAACAAATTAGCACAGACTGGATGGCTTAAACAACAGAAATCTATTTTCTCATAGTTCTGAAACCTGAAGTCTGAGATCAGGAGGCCAGCATTGTCTGGTTCTGGTGAGGCCCCTCTTCCTGGGTGGCAGATAGCTGCCTTCTTACTGTATCCTCCATGGTGGAGACAGAGAACCTTAGTCTCCCGCTTCTTAAAAGAACACTAATCTCTATATTGGGCCCCTCCCTCATGACCTCATCTAAACCCATTATCTCCCAAAGGGCCCACCAAGTCCATCACATTAGGTTTTTAAAGGGCTTCAACATATGAATTAAGGTAGAGGGGGAGATAGAAATATTCAGTCTATAACAAGGTTAAAAAAAACACCTACCCCCCCAAAAAATAATGTGTTGTCCATATTTAATGTTTAATCCTTAAAAGAACATATGCATTGCAAACTAATTTGGGGGTAAAAAACAAACTATAAATAATTATATCATAATTAGAGATTTTAGCATATCTTTTCATTTCCTGGATATAGAACTTCCACTTAAGTTATTGTACTTTTAGCAGTACATTTTTATGACAATGTAATTTTTATACAAACTTTTAAAGGAACTCATGTTTGAAAGTAAGTGATTGCCTCCGTTTAGTACTAGCTCGTTTCCAGGAGATGTTGGTCCTTTAGTCATTGTGGGCAACGTCGCCTGCTTTTCTCCTGCCTGTTGGATAGCAGTTTAAAGAAAAAATCAGTTCATAACTCTCCACCTCCCATTCACATACCAAATTTTATACAGGTCAAAGAGCTGAACAAAAGATATTGTGGAAAACAGATTACAGCATATTTTAACTAGTAAAAGTTGTAATTGGCCATGGGTGTGATTGTGTCCTTGAATGAAGTTTATATTGTTCTCTTGGTTGTTTTTATCTAGGAGAAGAGAAGGACAATGTCTTTGCCAGCTATGAGTGATTAACTGATTTTAACATACTGTTATTCCACTTCTTCACAATGTGAATAAGTTGATATTCTAATGAGAACATTTTCATGTGTATTTTCTGACTTTTCTCTCTAATATTTGCATACTTAATATTGGACTAGAATACTTCATGCTATTTATCTCTGGAGTTAAAACCGGCAATTTGGGGGCTGTTAATTTAGTGCTTTCGTGCTTCTTGAGAAGTAGGAGGACATGACTTTCTATTCTAAATGCATCTGTGAAATCCTGATACTACAAAAGCTTTGGCAAAATTCTGATGAACATGTTCAGTAAAAGCTCTCTGTGTTTCCCAAGATAGATAAGAAAACCTCCTCGTGGCACAAGCCGTAGAGTTAGATCTGTCCTTTGGCTGTGGCCTTCTGGCTCCTCTGTCTCTACCCTGGGAGATGTACTGTCCTCCTCTTCTCTCAGTGCAGCTGTCGCCTGATGAGTGACCAAAGAGGCTGGCAGTGGGGATGAGGATGGGGAGAAAGGGGTCTCTTTGAAATTCAAGTGCTCAAATCCTCTTTAAGCCCTAGTCTCCTTCCCTCACCTGCGGTCACATGCACCAAGGCCCCTTCTCCCCACCTCTTCCAAACATATTCCTTTGAAATTTCTCTTCCCTTGTTCAGAGCAGGACTTGGCCATCATTTAAACCTGATTTCACCTAAAGAGGCAGGGGGCAAGTGAGAACATAGTTTTTTTTCTGTCTCCAGCCTAGAACCCCTTGGGCCTGGCCCTAGGCTTTGCACCGCTTCAAGAATGACTAAAAATGAGCTTTCCTCATTTTGCTCTAGAGCTGAGAGTCTCATGTAGCAAGAAGAAGTAAGAAAGCACCTAACAGGCCACCGATAATCTCTGGGTTTACCAACAGCCTGGCTGTCCCCTCTTTCCTTTGGATTCTGCCCTCACAGGTGAATGTACAGCATCTTTGCTGACCCACATGGCAGCCATGTGCTATAGGTGGCTCTTGAGCACTTAGAATGTGCCTGGCCCATACTGAATCATGCTTTACACTAGACAAAAAGTTTTTAAATGAATATAGTATCTCATTAATAATTTAAAAATATTGATTACATATTTAAATTATAATATATGGGGTTTTGGATACAATAAGTACATTATTAAGATTCATTTCACCTGTTTCCTTTTACTGTGGTGCCTAGAAAATTTTAAATTATATTTGAGGCTTGTATTATATTCCTGTTGGTTGATGCTGTGATCAACCCTGTTTCAATTGATAGAGAATGTGGAGAACTTAAATTTGTTGTTTGTACTCAGTACATTTCTAAATTTCTGGTCAATTTATAATTATTATGTACTTAATATTCAAATTTATGTATATAGAATAAAAATATTAAGAATTATTTAAAAAAAAACAACTTAAAATCTACTAGCAAGAGATGAATTTGCAGATTTAAATGTGCTCATTCCCAAATGTACTCATTCTCTGCCTCCATTTCCTGGACTCATTTCAGTGTCATGTGCGGAGCTACAGCAGAGTGGTGAGAAGAAACCCACTGCATTCTGTACTTAATTTCAGTTTGCGTATATCAGTTTGCTCTGGGCTTTAAGAGAAAAAGAAGCTCCAGTTTTATGGCGATTTGAGGCAAAGGGAGGATGTTCATGGTACCTTCTCTTGTAATGTCTAAAAAAGAAAAATGAAAGAAAATGAGAGAAAGTATATGTTTCCTGGGCAGTCACTCTGTTATTTCAAAACCTTGCTAAGATGATGCTTGGTCTGGGTTGTGCCAACGTGAGTGCTGCTGTAAACCTTCTCCCAGGATGCAGGCTGACTTGGTATTCCAGAAACAGAGTTTGGCTGGTTTCCGCTTCAGCATGGCAGGTGTGCATGGTCTGTGGTTCCAGCTGCTAGAGGCCGGGGAATGGCAGGGGTACCGCAGAAGTGCTCCTGTCAGGGGGAGGCTTCAGGTGACACAGAAGGATGCCGAGGCTTATCCTGCAAAGTTTCTGCTGGGCTCTGTTGTTTAGTTTTTTTATCTGCAAAATATTTTAAAGAAAAAGTTTGTTTCCCTAGCATCCTAGTTACAAAGACAGCTGTGGAGATCTGACAGGCCTAATTTTTAGTTCAGACTCTGTCCCTAATTAAATATATGTTTTTGGACATTAGTCTCAACTTCAGTCTCCCCAACTGTAAAGTGGGAGTAATAATTCTGACTGTATTATAGGGATCTTATGAGAATTAAATATGATAATAAATGTAAACGGCTTAGCACCACACTTAGTAATTAACTGTTTTCTTAATTCTTTGTTGAAGATTTGCATGTGTGGAAATGAAGCATCTGCAAGAGGGGAGGGATCCAGGGAGGGATCCAGGGAGGGACCTGCCCCGGTAAAAGCCAAACCACTTCTTCAGTGGTTCCCCTAAACAGAGGGTTAGTTTGGGCCCATCCAGACCATGAAGTCCCTGTGAAAAGACTAGAGGGGTTTGGGTCATCTTCTCCAGACCATGGGAGTTAAGGACGGTTCTGGAGAGCCTGATAGCAGGGCCAGTTGTAGGATTCAGTTACTCCAGGGAAGACCAAAACAAAAGCAGAAGCAAACCCACGACCCACCTTAGAGTGCCCTGGGTTTGGCCTGGGCCCCACGACTGACTGACCGGGTGACTGCGGGTGCTCAGCCCCCGAATCAGCACTCCAGTCCGCCCCAGGCTATGCGCTTTCCCAAGGCTGGGACTCAGGATCAGAATGGCCTGTGTTCTGAATGGAAAAGGGAGGCCAGGTTTACTAAGTATGTCCACGCCAACATCCTTAACACTGAATTTGTATCACAAGGACTCCTGGGTGTTTGCCTGTCTTTAAGAGACAAGGCGCAGTCTACGTACCTCATTCAGAAGGAAGAGAGCACTAGTCCTCCCACCCAGTTGACTCCATGGCAAGGTAGACCTGTGTCTGTTTTGTTTCTGATTCTTGTTGTACCCAGTAGCCATAATCATTGCTTAAATTTTTTATTTTATTTTTCTTCATTTTAGACTTAACCTCTAGTTCTTATTTCCATAGCTACTAACACCTTGTGTTACCTCTTCACATCTTTCCACTCTCCTCACCTCCCTAACACTCACATTACCAGAAACATTTTGAAAGATGCAGTTCCTCACTGGCTTATTTACCCTGAATTTATATTGATTAACTTTTTACCAAACACTAGAGGTTTTGATTTGGGTAACCTAAGAAGTGGAAGAAAAAGTCATTGGCACTCATTAGCAATGCCTTTTGATAGCATTTATGTGACTAAATGGTCATGGGACCACAGGTAATGGTCTGCAGAGAGGCCTTTTGAAGATAAGGGATGCCTAGATCACTGAAATACTGAGCTTCCCTTTCAACCTGTAGTTGTGATTTGTTCTATTTCAGGGAGAAAATATCAGATACACAAAAAGACTGGAAATTCTTTGAGGTGAGTCACTTACGTTTGGGGCCTTTGCTCTTTGGTATGAAGCATGAAGCATAGCAATAACCAACAGCCAATTGTCAGGCACTTATTTTTAGTGAATATCCTTCCTATAAAGGATGCTAATTAGCTGCCTGCCACTCCTTTAATCTTCCGTCTGATTTTCCTCCTGGAAAAGTGAGTACATATATAGTTTTCCACAGCCTTTCAGGCATGTTGAGAAATTGGGTCATGTGGGTTTGCGTCTACTTAGTGGTATTACATAGACAGGTGGGAGTTTTCACATCATACCGTATACGTATCATATCCTGTCTGTTTTCTGTCATAGTCCTTTTATACTTTTTGTACCTACGTAGCCTGGATTGTCTTCCGGCGTCAACACTTCGCAGAGATTGAAGAGGAAATAGGAAGGCTCTTTCGTTCCAACATGTTTAACATTCCTCGAAGGAAGCGTGAGGATGAAGAATCAGGAGGAGAAAAGAAACGCATGACTTTTGTACAATTCAGGTATAACTTTTTGACTCTCCTAAGCTCAAAGACATTTCTAGAAAACAGGATGTGACCTAAATGTCACCCCCCCTTCCCCAGGAGAATGATGGCAAAACGCCCAGCGATTAAAAAAGCCATTAACATGCGCTCTCCAGTCATGTCTACTCTGCTGCCCTCTCTCAAGGAGAAAGTTCAGAATATCTCTGAGAAGAAGTACCATCAAGCAGGCATCAAACTCCCAGCCCGGATGCAAGAGCACGGGGACAACCTGGACTCTGTGCACATGCCAGTGTAAGTCGCCCGGGGAGAGAGAAGGGAGAGACCGAGCGGTGCTTCCTGAGTGGGGCCTGGGAGAGGCAGGGGCTCCGACACCGTGCCTCAGCCAGAAACGTGAACAAAGGTGGAAGTGTCGTCTTCCTACCCATCCCCTGCTCCTCACCACCTGTTTCCTTTCCAGATCAGCTCTGATTACACACATCTAGACTAGAAAAAACTAGAGAGTTATCCTAGACTTCAGATAGTTCTGATTTGGTGAAGTGAGCAGCAGACTTTGTAAGACTGAGAATGTAGAAGAATCATTTTTGGGGGATGTGGCCAGTCCAAAATCTTGCTATGGGTGGGGTTTTTAGACCCATATTTCAGAACCATATTCCATATGGTTCATGGAAACAGGGAAAACTTCAACAACAACAAAAACATTATAAGGTATGTGTGTGTGTGTGTGCGTCTGTCTGTCTTAGCTTAATACATACATGCACAAGCGTAAGAACAGCCATACTCCTTAGTCTTTGGCCTCAGCAAAGCTTCAACTGTACCAATAATTCTTTTCAGAGTTGGCATCTTGGGGGAGCCTAGATGTCTGTTCAACCCCCATACCCTTATCCCCCTCGATCCAGAAGAAAGCATGAAGTCGTCGGGGAGACAATCTTCCCTGATAGAAAGGAATAACATGAGGATTCAGGATACACTGGACTTGGTCATGAGAACACTGTCATCTCAAACAACATTCCCTAAATAATCTGGTACATTCCTTTTCTGTAATTAAGTTCCTGTATTTGAAATAAACTATTTTGGCTTAATCACTTTGCACAAGACTAATAGAACAACTTTAAACGTTGTTCAAATTATTTGGCTGAAAGTTCAACAATAGACTATTAAGAATCACAGAAAGCTTTTTAAAAGCTCATTTTCCCATATTTAATAGTTTGCTTTGTTATTTATTTACTTCCTTGGCTTTTATGTGAATATTTCAAGTAATGCATTAGGACCTGTAGCCAGTGTGCTAGTGGGCTAGTGAAGAAAAAGTCTGTTTATTCGTCTCTAAGTTCCTTTTCATTTTATGAGAGAGTGTTTTTGGTACATTTGAAAACAAAATTTCATAACAAGGCAAATTAAAATATTTTAAACATTAAATCTCTTTTTATGGCTGTATTATTATTGGCATTGGAATATAAAGTATATCTGATTCATTTAAAAGCTTTTTAGCATATGTGTTTCATTCATTTTTTCATTTATTTATTTAACAACATATGTTTTAAGCCTCCACTGCATCCAAAGACTTGTGGATGTGATGATGAAAAAAGATCAAGACAGAGACCATATCCTCTGGTCTGAGTAGTAGGGAGGTAAGTAAAACACATGCCTGCTGACAATACAACATTGATTGTGTTTGAGGCCATTAAAGAGGTTAACCCCAGTGCCCGCTGAGGACAAATCAGTGGAGCCCTCCTTCCGGTGGGGAACAGGAGGGTTGAGATTTGAATCTGGCGTCGCAGGGGTTTGGTGGCCCTACAGGGGGACCTCCAGTCAGAGGAAGACCATGTGCAAAGGCACAGAGATGAAAAGGTGTGCCTGTGACTGAGGAAGGCACGAGCACGGGGTGCGTGAAGGGGAGGGGCAGAGGAGCCGCTTGCAGATGCCGGCAGAGCCCTGCGAGCCCAGCTCGCTTGGAGCGCACTGGATGCTGTTTGGTAGGCGGTGAAGATTAGGACCCGCAGATGAAACCACTTCACTGGCTGCTGACTATGTTGTATTATCATTTTAAAAGTCCTGTAGATTAGCCAACTAAAATGGCTGGTCTGAATTTACCTTTCTGTGGCCAAAGGTTTATACTCAAACTTTGAAAATCCTCCTTTTAGCATTTAGCTAAAAATTTATTTCACAGAAAAAACTGGCTGCTTTTCCCCAGCTTTAATATCAAGAGCAGAGAAACACCAGCTCCAGTCTGAGTCTGTGATCATGTGGGGCAACATCTGTTCAACAGGAACTCTGTCTTCACTCTCTCATCCTTTATTACCCAGGTCAGTTCCTGTTACTCCTATTAAAACTGCAAAGTTTTTTTTTTAATCAAAATCCTGGACTATGAACCAACCCTTGTTTGACTTTTTATTTATGTAGTGAATTTGGTTGTAATGCACTCTGTCATAAATTTTTATCTAGAACGTGGTTCTATTTTCTTTTGGGTTTTTTTGTTTGTTTGTTTTTTGGTATTAAAAAAAAAAAGCCCTGGGAATTGTAATACTTTTATAACTATCTTTACAAGGCACCAGGGTTTTTTGGGTTTTTTTTTCCACTTCCTTCTTTCTGACTTTGGTGTACTTCATTTATTAATCCTTCAATTGTTTATTCATTCTTTCATTTTGCAATTATGATATCCCCATTCTGTGCTAGGCACCATGTTTGGTGCTGGGAATTCAGTATGGAAAAAATATAGCTAGCTCTGACTTGGAACCAACAGTCTTGGGGAAGACAGACAGGAAACAAATACTTGGATAATGAACTCATTGCAATGGTGATGAATGCTGCAGAAGAGAATAGAATGGTATGAGTGTGTATAGTCAGACTTGCTGATGTGTAGAGAATTTTTAGGGAAAGAGGAAGTGACATTTAAATCAGAGACTTGGAGACACATAGGCATTAGAGCAGTGGGAAGTGAGGAGGGGAATATTCCTGACAGTATTAGTTATTTATGCTGTGTAACAAATTACCCCAAAACATGGTGGCTTAAAATAGTATCATTTATTATCTCACAGTTTTTGTGGGTCAAGCATCTGGGTGTAGTTTAGCTGAGTCTTCTGACTCACAGTGACTCATAAGGTTTCAGTTAAGGTGTCAACCAGGGCTGAAGTCATCATCTAATGGCTCTATTGGGGGGTGGGGATGTGCTCCCAATATGACTCAGGTGGTTGTTGGCAGGATTAGTTCCTCACAGGCCATTAGACTGAGGCCTCAGCTCCTCATAAGCTATTGGCTCAAGGCCTGCCTCAGTTCCTTGCCACATGAGCCTCTCCAAAATTGGCTTACAGCAGGTTAGTTGGCTTCATTAGAGTGAACAAGTGAGAGAGGCAGAGAGTGTGCACAAGCAAGACAATTTAGTCACTTACAGCCTAATGATGGAAGTGATATTCTGTCGTTTTTGCTCTATTCTCTTCACTAGAAGCAAGTCACAAGGTCTAGCCCACCCACAAGGGGAGGGGACCACCAAGGCCATGAACACCAGAAGGTAAGGATCATTGGGAGCCATCTTAAAATTCCACCTGCCACAGTGGCAGAGGACACATGAAAGTCTTGAGGCTGGAAGCAAAGCTCCTTCAGGTTGCTGAGATAAAGCTTTTGAGGATGTAGAGAGGAAGGATGGAAGGATAAGAAGTGGCTGGAGAGTAGGCAAGAGCCCTGTTGTGGAAGGTTCTGTAAGTGTTCTATAAGTGTAAGGATGGGTTGTTGCAAGGGGATTGTGCAATTTTTGCCTTGCACAAAGGTGCCAGTGAAGGAGGTGGATGGGGGCTGAAATCCAACTGCATATCTTTATCTGGTTCTGGATCTTTCCAGAAGGAGTCCCTTTTCATAATTCATAAAGCAGCAGCCTTGAATGGGTACCCTTTAATGGTTTTTAAGCTTACCAAGAGGATTTTTTTAAATTCAGAATATTCAGCAATTAAGAGAATGAAAAGACAAGCTACAGACCGGGAGAAAATATTTGCAAAACACATTATCTGATAGAGGACTTGCATGCAAAATATACAAAGAACTCTTAAAACTCAATAGCAAGAAAAATAAACAATCTGATGAAAAATGGGCAAAAGATATGAACAGATATCTTACCAAAGAAAATATACACATGACAAATAAGCATATGAAGAGATGCTTAACATTATTTGTCATTAAGGGATGGAAGTTAAAAAAGTACTGAGATACCATTACACACTCATTAGAATGGCTAAAGTCAAAAAAAAATGACAATTCCAAATGCTGGTGCAGATGCAGTACAACAGGAACTCCTATTCATTGCTGGTGGGAATCAAAATGATGCATCTCCTTAGGAGACAGTTTGAAGTTTCTTACTTTAAGTTTCTTCCAGTTCATATGAAAATGTAACAGCCAGATAGCCAAAACAATCTTGGAAACAAAAACAAGGTTGGAGGGCTAACACATTCTGATTTCAAACTTACTACAAAGCTACAGAAATCAAGGCTATGTGGTCCTGGTATAAGAATAGACATTTAGATCAATGGAATAGAATCAGAAGTCCAGAAATAAACCCATACATTTATGGCCAATTGATTTTCAACAAGGGTATTAGAACCATTCATTGGGGAAAGTATAGTCTTTTCAATAAAAGGTGCTGGGACAATGGGATATTCCTATGCAGAAGATTGAAGTTGGATCCCTACATTACACCATATACAAAATTTAACTCAAATAGACCACACACTTAAATATAAGGACTTAAACTAGAAAACTCTTAAAATGTAGGAGTAATCTTCATGATCTTGGGTTAGTGGTTTCTTAAATAGGAATGACACCAAAAACAAGCAACCAAAGGAAAAAGATAAATTGGGATTCATCAAAATTAATAACTTTTGTGCTTCAAAGAAAAATATCAAGAAAATGAGGGTGATAATTGTATAACAACTCTGTGAATATACTAAAAAATGGAATTGTACACTTTAATGATGAATTGAATGCCTTGGGAATTACATATCAGTAAAGAGGTTATAAAGAAAAAAGTGAAAACACAATCCACAGAATGGGAGGAAATATTTGCAAATCCTATATGTGAAAAAAGTCCAGTATCCAGAATATATAATGAACTCTTACAATTCCACAGTAAAAAATTATCCAAATTTTAAATGGGCAGAAGTTTGAATAGTCACTACTCCAAAGAAGATATATAAATGGCTAATAAGCACATGAAAAAACACTCAACATCATTGGTCACTAGGGAAACACAAATTAAACCCACAGTAAAAGACTACTTCATCCTCACTAGGATGGCTGTGAGCAAAAAGACAGAGGAATTGCTGATGAGAATGTGGAGACATCAGAACCTTCACAACATTCCTGTAATGTAATGGGAATGTAAAATGATAAAGCCATTTTGGTAAACTGTCAGTTCCTCAAAAAGTTAAGTGTAGAATTACCATATGACCTAGCAATTCCACTCTTAGGTATATACCCAAGATAATTGAAAACGTATGTTTATACAAAAATTTGTACACAATTGTTCAAAGCAGCATAATTCATGATAGCTGAAAAAGTGGAACAAACCAAATGACCAACAAGTAATGAATAACCAAAAAATGGTATATCTATGCAATGGAATATTATACAGCCACAAAAGGAATTATGTACTAATTCATATTACAAGGTGAATGAAGCTTGAAAACAACATGCTAAGTGAAAGAAGCCAGACACAAAAGGCCACATATTCTATGATTCTAATGATATGAAATTTCCAGAATAGGAAAATGCATAAAGACAGGGTAGATTAGTGGTTACCAGACACTAAAGCGGCAAGGGAATGGAGAGTGACACTAACAGGGGCAGGATTTCTTTTTGGAGCAATGAAAATGTCCTGGAATTTGATAGTGCTAATGGTTACACAACTTTGTCAGTAGACTATCACTGAATTGTACATTTTAAAAGAGTGAATTTTATGTTATGTGAATTGTATTTCAATTAAAAACAAGACAAAACAAGGAAAGTCTGAGAAATTGCCGTATGATGACATGATGACTAAATCTAATCTAGTATCCTGGATAGGATCCTGAAACAGAAAAAGGCTATTATGCGGAAACTAAGGAAATCCAAATAAAGTATGGACTATAGTTAATAATAATGCATCAATATTGGTTCCTTAACTGTGGCAAATGTACCATAGTAATATAAGATGTTAATAATCAAAGAAACTGGATGTAGGAATTCAGAAATTCTCTATACTATCTTTGCAATTTTTATTTAAAACTGTTCTAAAATAAAAAGATGATTTTAAAAATGTTCAGCAAATAGTTACGTAGCATCTGACATGTGGGCATCAAGCTGGATAATATGTGGTCTTTATTCAGGTTGCCTTCTGGGCAGAAGCAGAAGGATAAGATAAGCAATGCTCAAAAAGGTGGCTAGAAGCCAG